TTCCTCCTCACCTTCCTCCTCTCCCGCCTCCTCCTTCCTACTTGCCCTCCTTCTTACTCCTCCTTTCTCCTCGCCCTCCTCCTCCTTCCTCCTTGCCCTACTCCTTCCTCCTCGCCCTCCTCCTCCTTCCTCCTCACCCTCCTCCTCCTTCCTCCTTGCCCTCCTTACTCCTCGCCCTCCTCCTCCTTCCTCCCCGCCCTCCTCCTCCTCCTCCTTCCTCCTCGACCAACTCCTCCTTCCTCCTCGTCCTACTCCTCCTTCCTCCTCACCCTCCTCCTTACTCCTCGCCCTCCTCTTCCTTGCCCTACTCCTTCTTCCTCGCCCTTCTCCTCCTACTTCCTTCTCGCCCTCCTCCTCCTTCCTCCTCGCCCTCCTCCTCGAAGAGTCATTAGAAATATGTGTAGAATAATAAACCCTACATTGTTTGAGTTAGGGAAAACACCATTTGTCATATAAATACTGTTCTTAAAGATTCTGCCATTTTGCACCTGCAAGATAACACATAAGATTTTAAGGGTTGACGAATGTTAATCTTCTTGTTTGATAAACTGTGCACTTGAGAAATAGTTAATAAGAACACGCCAATATATAAGACAACAAACGTTTTCAGATTCTTTCACACCACTTTCCAGCAACATTTACAATTTATATAAATTATTTTAGGGAATAATACATAAATTTTATATTTAAACATGGTATTAGTGTTTAGTGGAATGCATAAGGAGTCAAATTGTGTTAAAAAGAGCTATTTTTAGAAAATTTGGAAAACTACTTTTTTTTCTATTCACAGAATAACTAAATGTATTTTGAAGGTTTCATTCAGCCATTAAATATCATTTACAATTTATTAATGAATTTTACAAAAAACACCATAAATTTCATATTTAAACATGTAAAAACTATTTGTAATACATTAGGAACAAAATAGTTGTAGAAAAACAATATATTATTAAACTTATGTGTTTGGATTTTTGGATTAAAAGTTTCTCAAAGGCTCTCCTGCACCATTCTCAATGCAAGTCATTCCTACACCTATGGGAAGAGATAGATGAACGTTATCTATACGATTTGTGTTTGCTGGGAATGTCTTTCTCGTGAAATTCCCACAAATTTCTATGGTAAAACTGCCCCTGAACACAGGCACGAATTTCCCTTTCACTCTACTGCTACAGATCACTTAGCAGGTTGTTAGAGCATGTGACTAATCACTGGAATGGGGACTCACGAGTCTGTTGTCACTCTTATGAAACTTTTTACCCACGTTCCACAATTAATTCCAAATACACTCCCTGACTCCCTCTCTTCGAAATACGATGAGTTCCCGGATTTTGCTCATGGATCGACAACGTAGTTGAATGGGGGAATGGAGAGGTGTAGTAGCCAACCACCACCACGCCCATTTACCCAATTTGGCCAAATGAGCAACACAGGACGTTGCCTGTGCCTCTAGCCTCAGGCAAGGGCAGAGGCTGGAGGCAGAAAAGCTTCCTGAAGCTGGCGTCTTCCCGGGTTCTTCCTCAAACGAAGCAATCAGAGGAAGGCATACAGCTGTCTAACCTCTTAGCCAATCAGAGGCGAGCTTGCATAGCTGCAGGGGTGACCCCAAGATGGCCGGCGGCGTTGCCATGGTAACAAGGCTGGTGGGTGGCCCACGTCTCCTTCCACTCTGCTTCGCCTTTCCCACGCACGCCTGTCACATCACTCTACTCAATGAGAGCTTGTGCTCATTCTAACTCTTTCCACAGATACACTAAAATGGCTATTGTAGCATATTTGGAATCCTGAAGGCTCAGGCTCTCAGATGAGCCCAAACTCGAGATAATTCGGGTACGAGTTACCAGAACTAGTCCCGTGCACGGCCATGCTCGTTCCAAGTGCATGACTAGCACCACAGACACGTAAAACCAGTGGATAGCTTATCTGGTGTCAACCCATTCCCTCACAGTGGGAAATAGCAATGTAGTCACTATTGCAGATGAGACAGCATTGGAAATCACCCTTGAAAATGGAGTAGTGTTGATCCTCAGCGCAGATGCTATACTAGGAGACACAGGCCAGACATTTATTGTTGAAGTGCGTGTACCGGTATCACTGTAGCAGATCGTAATAGAGTTCCTTCTTGATCAGGGCTGGTGGAATCTTTGACACCAAAGCACTTGGGCCCATTGCGTGGTAGCAAGGTCTGCAGCAGCTATGATGGCGAATGTCAGTTTTATGGTCTAGTGGTCTAAGAAGTTGTTATCAAGGATTCTGAGGTAGGTTGGAATCGCAGAAGAATTTTCAGCTGCGATGTTGGCTATCGGCCGCGACTCTTGGGGGTCGCGGTCGCTGATACAATTTTTGGTTCTCCAGATGATGACTGCTCCCTCAGCAAGGTGGCACCTAGAGAAAGTGAGGCTTAGGTGCGCCTCAGTAAGTGCACGCCGGGTAGGTGTGTCGATGTTGTCCTCTTGTGAGTCGAAGAGAACAACATCCACATCCTCCTGACGAACATCGATGGGTGTGACGTTGATGGCAGTGAAGAGGGCTTGCAGTTGTTCACTCTTGGTGAATGCATGGTCATCCAGGAATGTAGCCTTCACTTTCTTCAGCATGGTACCGAGTGGCTGAGCCCATGTGTCATTCCCTGAACGGGTCGCAGTGGCGATGTATGTCATGTGGGCAAGCAGCGATGTAGAGTAGAGTGGACACGTCTGCCCCCGACAATCACTGGGTGCAGAGTATTAACGGATCAGCTGCTTCATTGAACACTGTGTAATTCACAGTTGGTCTTTTGTTTGTATGTATAGTTTACGTCAACTTTTTTATTATTTGCTTTAGTTTCAGTTTGAGCTGTGTCTGTGATACTTATTTCGAGTGTTGACATTTTGTACTGTTATATTTATTTTAATGGGAATATATAATATAACTTTTGGTGATCAGTTTTGTGCAATATTTGTTTCTTACAAAGATGTGTGACTGGTAATCTATAAGTGTTTTAAACGTTTTATTTTATATTTTCACTGTACGTTTGTAGTTAATTTTGTAATTTTTAATTGGCTTGGAGTATCTATGTGATAATTATCAAGTTATACATTGATCACTTCATGTAGATTGAACCGAATGTTTTGTTTTATAACTAGTGTCACTTTGTATCTCATTTTGAAATATTCCACTCACCATATCCATATTATCATGTAAGGAATGAAATATTTCCATATCATTTCCATATTTTATCTCAGAATCATATCTACTGATGATTTAAAGGATCATCTGTATCTATATTAGTAGTCTACATGACCATTTGGTCAAGTACACTATTGAGCTCAATGTCTATATTATATTGAACATGTGATCTCCAGAATCTAGAAGCGCCCAGGTAATCAAAAAATATTGCTGGAACCAAAGTTATAGCATCCTGTGATGCAATTTCAAAATCCTTAATAAAGAACAAAAGATACTATCAAGTCCTGCCAATTATCTTTAAATCTACGAGATGTTTGTCTTGTGATATAACTTTATCACAATAATCAGTGTAAATAAAGAATATAATTAATTTATAATCATTTCCGACACCTCCACTGAGGAGGAGGACGCCACTAGCAGTCACCGGTGGGGGCAGAATCGTCTGGTACCTGGTGGCATCGTATTTACATCCAGGAGTGAACACGTGTGTAGGGCTGGAGAGACTTTTTCAGCACGATATTTACACACAAACTAATTACAATCTCCAGTAATAGCTCCCTGAATACGGAGATAGTGTCTGAACTGTATATAAGGTGGAATTACTGGAACATTATCCAAAAATATGAGTGTGGAGGTTCACCGGTTAGTGATGCACCACATCCACTTCATCTACCAATTGAGACGCACAACGTGTGCTCTATATCTGAGCAAGCAACTAGAATCCTTTACAGCAACGCTGTGACATCCAACTCATCAACATCAACCTGCCTATTCATTATTAAAATATAGAGCCTTGTTTCAGCAAAAGAGATACCATCGGGCTACTGTCAGATAGTCTCCGGTTCTCAATTCAGGAAAAGTTATTAATTGTTTTAATCATAGTAGGCCAATTAGCATGTTTTATGACATTAATACATCTATATGTAAATTGAGAGTCGTTAGGCAGCGAGGCAACGGTTCATCACTAGTAAGTTCTGACCTTCTCGTACAGTAACTGAAACTCTTTTTTTGCTGAATATTTCTAAAAATCTGAATATTTATATCTTGTGTATATAATTCTTTAGTATAACTTATCATACATTTAATTGCCTTATCCATTAATCTTAATTTATCAAGTTAGTTTATTTTATTGCATATAATAATTTGTTATACATATTTTCATATACCTTTGTGTAATTATACCCTTTATGCAACAGCACAGATATTCCTAGGACTAGGCTAGAGTGTACAATTCAGTTCCTAGATCATAAACCTTACCAGTGTTTGCAGTAAGAGAGCAGTTTTATTATGCCCTAGTACTGTGTAAAATTATAAGCTAATTGTGGTATACTTGTAGGGTATACCTGCATGTAATTTTTGGTTCTGCAATTGATGTCCTAGGTCAGCCTTAAGGACCCCTACCTGCCACAGACCATTACCAGTATCAAAGTCACAGAGGTGTGGGCTTACAACCCAGCATAGGAACTTTGCATTCAGATAAGAGAGCCTAATTGCTTTGCACCCTTTTAACAATTACAGTAATTATTTATTTTTTAAATTTATGGTTCTAGTAACCACATTCTTGTTTCTGTGTAATTCTCCTCTTTTATCAATCTTGGAATATTCCCCCACATCTCTTATCCTTTACTACTTAATCATTGTTTAGTATTACTACTTGGTTTTGCTGCTTATTTTAATATAACTTTTGTATTTTAGATTTGATGATGAATACGGGAAGTATTCGAAATGTCATGAATTTTAATTAAAAATAAAGAAGAATTTTAAAAGGATGTATTATGTCCATGGTTCTCTTATTTATTATGAAATAAATCTATTGTGGTGCAGGAGCCACGAACCTCGTTAAGGGAGACAATCTTGAGGTTGTAGAAGATAGGGAGGATAACCTGGCTGACGAAGATGGTGCCAGGGATGCAGCCCAGCAGTGTCGTCGTCACCTGCGTCCCGAAAAGGTACGTCTCCGTGGCATTACCTGCGAGAGCTGATGCTGTGAGTAATCCATGTATACTAGTGTCACAATCACATACACCATGTATACTAGTGTCACAGTTGCATACACCATGTATACTAGTGTCACAATCACATACACCATGTATACTACTGTCACAATCACATACACCATATATACTACTGTCACAATCACATACACCATGTATACTACTATCACAATCACATACACCATGTATACTACTATCACAATCACATACACCATGTATACTAGTGTCACAATCACATACACCATGTATACTACTGTCACAATCACATACACCATGTATACTACTGTCACAATCACATACACCATGTATACTACTATCACAATCACATACACCATGTATACTAGTGTCACAATCACACACCATGTATATTAGTGTCACAATCTCATACATCATGTATAGGAGTTAATCTTCGCGCCACTAACATACCTGTGAGTCTTCTGTCTGTTTTGTCGGGTAATTACCTCTTGTGACAGATGTCAAGGGCAGGATTTCCAAGTCTTTACGTGATCACTTACGAAACCTCTACATCTTCCCTCAGTCATGGAGGCTTAGCTTGCATTTATTAAGCTATTGAAGAGTTCTGAACTTGGGATGAGAAGGAAATCACAGCGTTTCGAGACTCGGGAATTGTATAATATATGTATTGGATAAGCCACTATGATTAAGGAAAGATGTACAGGTTTCGTAAGTGAACACGTAAATGCTTGATGAATGCTGACCAGGGCAGGTTTTTGTAGCCTTTCCTCATAACTCATACCTCGTAGGTCTGGGACCAGTCTCATAAATGAGTATAATAAATGGGATATAAATTGGGTTTCAAATATGTCAACACAAAGAAAATTAAAAATAATGTATAAACTGGATAAGTTTAGCATCGGGAAAGACATACTGGGTTGGAAATAGGTTTGTTGATATATGGAACACATTACGTGGTAACATAACAGCCGTGGGATTACTGAATTGTTTCAAGCATAGGTTAGTCAAATATACGAAGGAATTTCGATGAATATGAAAGAGGAGCTCTGTTTCGAATGGCCTAATAGGCTTTATGCAATCATATTCATTCTTTTGTTCTTGGGTGATATAAAAAGTCAGGAATGATTCTCTGCATAAATTTATTAAGGCATTTCTAATTAAATTTAAAAATAAAAGGCTTAATGCATAAATTCTTGTACATTTAGTTGGGTTAGTTTAAAGAAATTTACAGTACATTATTTATTTAAGACAAAGTCTAATAATAACAATATATATATATAATCACTATAAATATATTGATTATATAATTATTTATATATTATATAATATTATAACATTTAGATATTAATCTAGATTTAGGAGCAACGTTTATCAATGATTTAAATATCATTACAGTTGTCAAATTCAGATTGAGAAACTATCTGTAACAACTGACACAGATCATTATAGTAATGGCTGGTCTAAACAGATGTATAGCAATCTAAATCTATCTTGAGATGATTTCGAGGCTTAGCATCTTTGCTGTCCGGTCCTCGACCAGGGCCTCCTTTTTGTTACACACCCCCAAGACCCAGGAAGCAGCCCGTATCAGCAGTCTAACTCCCAGGTACCTAGTAATTGCTAGGTGAACAGTTGCATTAGAGTGAAAGAAATTCTGCCCATTTGTTTCCACCTACACCGGGGATCAAACCCGGAACCTCAGTACTACGAATCCCGAGTGCTGTCCACTCAGCTGTCAGGTTCCTGACTTATATTTTTGGCATAAAGTGAGTGACATTTAAATGACAATTAAGAGAATACATTTATTGGAAAAAATTGTAGTTTACCATAAGAGCACTAGGACAGTGTTATGAACCCCCAGTTAGCCTAGTGAAGTCGATCTGCCAGGTGAGAGTTATTCTGCCCACCAAACTAGAGTAGAAGTCAGGAGAAGGAAGTCAGTTGAGTAAACGTTAGTAAATTATGACTAAAAAAATACAATCAGAGGACAAGCATTTTCTAGAAGATAGTCGAAATAAGATGTCAACATTTTGTGACGTGACGTGACACCGAGGGAGGTTGTAACGCATCACTTGAGATGCTACAGTCACCAGGAATGGACGTATACCACTGTCTCCTGGGAAGAAAGAAGAATATCGTTATTGGTAAAGTGTTGGAGTGAAGGCTACAGTGTACAACTGGTGAGGAAGCTGCCGGGAAAGCGATGTACATCATTTCTCGGTGATCATGAAGTTATTAGAGGCGATCTGATGCCTAGAGATTATCATATTCCTGTGTGGACTCTAATATGAAATGTCCTCGGGTGGAAGAAAGTAAGCAGCTGTTTCTGTGTGAAGCCTGCCAGACACTTCGTAGACTCAAATCGGGACTGCGAGAAGTTTAGAGAGACAATCCCAAAGAAGGATTTTTGTGGACGACCTGAGTAGCACCATATGACAACCCTTATTGGTTGGTTATAAATAGAAGCTGTCTCGTATAGGACAACAGGCCTTCTGCAATTACGTTTATTCTTATCCTCCTCATAACGTTTGCATTCCCAGCAAACAGAGAGGAATGAGTCTGTTCCAATTTGAAAATCATTCACATACATCAGAAACGAGTGCTCAACACTTTGGGACTCCGTTGGTGACATTTCGTCCCTGTGAGATCCGACTCTTCTCTGTGACGTACTGTCTTCTGTTTCTTAGGTACTTCCTTATTCACTGGAGCACCTTGACTCTCACTCAAGTCAGCTTCTCCACCTTGTAACCAATTTCTTTTGAGGAACTGTATCACTCACAGACTTTCTGATACTCCAAAAATTTACAGTCTATCCATCCTTCTCCGTCTTGTCTAATTTGTCATGTGTGCCTGAGTGTGTGTGTTCTCAACTAGTTGTGCTTGTGGGGGTTGAGATTCGGCTCCTTGGGCCCGCTTCTTAACTGTCAATCTACTTGTGTGCAGTTACAACAGCTTATTGGGCTCTATCATATCTACATTTAAAACTGTGTATGGAGTAAGCCACCACCACATCACTTCATAATGCATTCCATTTATTAACGTTACTAACACTGAAAAAGTTCTTTCTAATGTCGCTGTGGTTCATTTGGGTTGTCAGTTTCTACCTGTCTTCCTAATTATGGTAATACTACCCGTGTTAAATAATGTTTTTATATACCCTGTCAATTTCTCTGAGAATTTTGTATATGATAATCATGTCTCCCCGAGCTCTTCTGTCTTCCAGCAACGTGAGATATAATTCACGCAGCCTTTCCTAGTAACTCATGGCTCTTACTTCTGGGCCTAATATAGTGGCATACCTTCACTTCCGAGAGCGTCGCCATTATCCACGAGACGACGCTAGTCCCAGACCGGCGTGTACCATTAATTAGTACTACCTCTATGATTCATCTGACTAACTACATAATCCCACCTCTGCCTCTATCCTCAGTTTCATTCCTTGTTCATTCGCTGTTATTTTTCTTCTGATGTGGCTGTGCAACAATTTAGGTTGAGTCTTTGCCTTACTTGCTATGTCATTTTCGTACCGTCTTTCTGTCTCTCTTCTCACACTAAGGTACTTATTCCTGGTCCTCGGTTATCTTCCTCTGCTCTCTGGCGTCCTATTATTTGTATAGTTTCTCCGTGCCTTTGTATTTAATTGCTTTGCCAGCTTACATCCCTGATTACACTATGGATTTTTCATTTATATTCATTTTTTTATGATTGGGTGTTGGTTTTTCGTTTTGGAATGAGACAAATTTACTTGCTGCCTCCTAACACTTCTGCGTAACTTAGTCCATCAAGTCTTGGTCTGTCTCTCCTCTGAGTTTTGTTTCCCATGTTATATTTTTTTGTCTCCTCGCAGTTTCCCTCTCGAAATGCCAGCCTTTTGGTTTTCAGGTACCTTTTTTAAGAACATTACCCCTTTTCTATCAGATATTCAAACATCAGTACACTGTGATCGTGCATTCCCATGGGGGCTTCAAAGTTGATTTCCCTTATGTCAGAGTCGTTCAGAGTGAATACCAGGGTAAGTCTCGCTTGTTCATCATTGCCTCTCATTCTTGTGGGTGCACTGACATACTGACTTAAAAAGTTTCTTGTTTCCACTTCCAATAGTTTAGCTCTTTATGTTTCCGCGCCTCTATGCGGTTCCTTGTTTTCTCAATCTATCTTTCTGTGATTGAAATCTCCCATGATAAGCAGATGGAATCGATTTCTCCTGGCGACAGAGTCTGTCCTCTCAGTTATAGTATTCACTGCTATGTTGTATTTGTCATACTCTTGCTTGGGTCTTCTGTCATTTGATGAGGGGGTTATATATCACTTCTACCACTATTCTTGGTCCTCCCATCGTCATGGGGCCTGTTATGTAGTTCCTGAGCCCCTCGCAGCCTGGGATAACTATCTCCTTGAAACTCTATTCCTTTCTCATCAGTAGGGCCATTCCACCTCCTTCCCTCTCTTTTTTTATTAAAGTGTAGTCCTTGGGAAACACTGCATTCGTTATGAATCCTGATAGTTTTGTTCCTGTGAGTTCTACTACATCCGGATTCACTTCTTGTGTTTTTCTCTTAGTTCACTTGCCTTGTTAGACCTGCCTCTGGCCTCACGTAGGCAGTGTTAAGTGCTCTTAATGCCTCCTTGATAGATTTCTGAATAATGTTCTAACTTTTGCTTGTGAAGAGCACGTTGCTGTCGTTATCCTATTTATATGTGCACTTTGCTGTCTTTATCTTATTTATATACAGTATATGAAGTCTGCTTATCCTTCTATGTCCTGCCTTATTCTTGTTACTTTATTCCTGGATGTTTGTTAGGCATGATTTCCCTTCCGTGAACCTATGTTCGCGTTTTTTTAAGTAACAAATTCTCTGTAAGTGTGTAACCGGACCTATTCTGATTTTCTTCTCATTTTCAAATACTTTTCAAGTACTTTGCAGAGAATTGCTGTCAATGATTCTGGTCTGTATTTAAGTGCCTCCTCTCTATATACTTTCTAGTAAATTGTTACCATGCTTGCCTTCTCCCAGCCGCTGGGCAACTCTCCCGTCGTAGGTGACCCATAAAGATCATTCCTAGTGGCACGCTGAGGGAGTGTGCTGCCTCTTTTAGTATTCACAGTAATACTTTGTCTGTTCCAACTGCCTAAGTTTCATCAAGTGTTATTCGTTATTCCATTACCTCCTCTGCTGTCACCTATGGTCTTTGTGATAATCTTTCATCTAGGGTCATCTCCTCTTCTAACAATCGGAGTTGCTCAAGCTTGGTTGTTAACACATCATGGAAAATGGTGTTCAGTACCTCGCAGATTTCCTTGTCGTTTTCTATAGTCTTGTCACTTAAGAACATAAGAACATAAGAACAAAGGCAACTGCAGAAGGCCTATTGGCCCATACGAGGCAGCTCCTATTTATAACCACCCAATCCCACTCATATACATGTCCAACCCACGCTTGAAACAATCGAGTGACCCCACCTCCACAATGTTACGCGGCAATTGGTTCCACAAATCAACAACCCTGTTACTGAACCAGTATTTACCCATGTCTTTCCTAAATCTAAACTTATCCAATTTATACCCATTGTTTCGTGTTCTGTCTTGCGTTGATACTTTTAATACCCTATTAATATCCCCTTTGCTATGTCCATTCACCCACTTGTAAACCTCTATTATGTCACCCCTAACTCTTCACCTTTCCAGTGAATGCAACTTAAGCTTTGTTAATCTTTCTTCATATGAAAGATTTCTAATTTGGGGAATTAACTTAGTCATCCTACGCTGGACACGTTCAAGTGAATTTATATCCATTCTATAATATGGCGACCAAAACTGAACTGCATAATCTAAATGGGGCCTAACTAGAGCAAGATATAGCTTGAGAACCACACCAGGTGTCTTGTTACTAACGCTGCGATTAATAAATCCAAGTGTCCGATTTGCCTTATTACGAACATTTATGCATTGATCCTTTTGTTTTAAATTCTTACTAATCATAACTCCCAGATCCCTTTCGCAATTCGACTTTGCAATCTCAATACCATCTAGCTCGTATCTTGTAACCCTATCATCATTACCTAACCTCAGAACTTTACATTTATCAGCACTAAACTGCATCTGCCAATCCTTCGACCATTTCAAAACCCTATCTAGATCAACTTGAAGTGATAGTGAGTCCTCCTCCGAATTAATTTCCTTACCGATTTTCGTATCTTCGGCAAATTTGCAAATGTTGCTACTCAAACCTGAATCTAAATCATTTATATATATTATAAACAACAGAGGTCCCAGGACAGAGCCCTGAGGCACCCCACTTACAACATTTTCCCATTCTGACTTGACTCCATTTATACTAACTCTCTGTTTCCTTTGGTATAGCCATGCCCTAATCCAGCTTAATATAGCACCCCTAATACCATGAGACTCTATCTTTTTAATCAGTCTTTCATGTGGCACTGTATCAAAAGCTTTACTAAAGTCAAGGTACACAACACCGCAATCCTTACCACTATCAACTGCCTCAACAATGCTAGAATAAAAAGATAACAAATTTGTTAAACATGAACGGCCATTTATAAAACCATGTGGCGACTCAATTATTAATTTATGGTTTTCAAGATGAAGACGAATTTTATTTGCTATTATAGATTCGAGTATCTTTCCCACAATAGACGTTAGGCTAATTGGTCAATAGTTAGACGCAAGTGATCTATCTCTTTTCTTAAAAACTGGTATCACATTAGCAACTTTCCAAAACTCTGGCACTCTGCCTTACTCTACTGATTTATTAAATATGGTTGACAGTGGGTCACAAAGCTCCTCTTTGCATTCTTTAAGCACCCTGGCAAACACTTCATCCGGCCCTGGGGATTTGTTTGGTTTGAGTTTTACTATTTGTTTAAGAACATCCTCCTTGGTAACTGCTAAACTTGTCAACCTGTCCTCGTCCCCACTCACATAGACTTGTTCGGGTGAAGGCATATTGTTAAGTTGCTCTTTAGTAAATACAGATACAAAATATTTATTAAAAATACTACTCATCTCTTCATCACTATCTGTTATTTGACCTGTCTCAGTTTTTAATGGACCTTTCCTCTCCCTAGTCTTAGTACGATATAACTGAAAAAACCCTTTAGGATTTGTCTTTGCTTGCCCTGCTATGCGAACTTCATAGTTTCTTTTTGCTTTCCTTATCTCTGTTTTAACATTTCTAACCAGTAGTACGAATGCCTGTTCTAAAGTGACCTCCCCATTTTTAATCCTTTTGTACCAAGCTCTCATTTTACCTATAAGGTTCTTCAAATTCTTTGTTATTCACTTTGGGTCATTAGTATTCGATCTATTCAATTTGTATGGTATACTACGTTCCTGTGCTTTGTTTAGAATATTCTTAAATAAGTTATATATTGAATCCACATCGAAATCCCCATTTACGTCACCTATCGCTGGGTTCATGTCTCGCTCCAAGACCGGCCCCCACCTCATACCCAAGACTTTCTAATCAATTTGACCCAACAAATTTCTTAGGCTATTAAAATCAGCTTTTCGAAAATCTGGCACTTTAACAGAATTTTCTCCTACAGGTCTATTCCATTCTATGCTAAATCTGATTTCTTTGTGATCACTGTTCCCTAGCTCACTCCCTATTTCGATGTCATTAATTTGTGTTTCCCTGTTAGTTAACACTAAATCTAAAATATTATTTTCCCGTGTTGGTTCCTTAATGTGTTGCGTAAGAAAGCAATCGTCAATTAATTCTAGAAAATCTTCTGCTTCACTATTCCCTGTTTTGTTCAACCAGTTTATTCCACTAAAATTAAAGTCACCCATGACGTAAATACTGTTAGATCTAGATGCCCTAGATATTTCATCCCATAGATGCTTTGCTTCCATTCTGTCTAAATTTGGTGGCCTATATATATCTCCTATTATAATATTATTTGCTTTTTCGTTTAATTCTATCCAAATAGTTTCTGTGTGTGGCTCAGTTTTGATTCCCTCTTTGAGACTACATTTCAAATTGTCCCTAACATATATGGCTACTCCCCCTCCTCGTCTAATATATCCATCTGTGTGAAATAGTTTAAATCCATTTATTTGATATTCAGCTAATAGTTCTCTATTTTCTACATTCATCCACGTTTCGGTAAGTGCAATAATATCTATTTTTTCTGTGCAGACAAGAGCATTTAATTCGTTAATTTTATTTCTTAGACTTCTACTGTTAGTGTAATATACCCTAAGTGAATTGTTATTTTGAGGCCCTTCTCTTTCCCTGATCATTTTGCCAATTCCTTTCTCCCACAAACACATACTTTTATTACCTCCTTCCTCCAAATC